GTTGGGTACAGTGGAGTATAGTGAGATGTTTTGATATTTATAAGAAAAAAACCAAGGAACGGTGGAAGGTGGGCGAGGTCTCCGCGAGGTCGGCGCACGTGCAGTACAAATAAAGACGAAGCCACGTGTCTCTTCCGCCGCGCTCTTATCCTCGCGCACCTTTGTGTTTTTGTACCAATCAAGACGGTTGCGGGCCGACGCGACGGCTCCGCGCATGCGTTGCATCGGTCCGGTGTGCTGGATAGGTTGTATTCCAATAGATAGACTTTTCGAAGGATAATTGATGAAAGGAAAAAGAAGAAAATTTTTAATCTTTAACATTTCATAATTGAAATCTCTTTCCTTAGTAATTCTTCAAAAATATCGGCGTCTTGTTGGTAAGGAAAAACTGAAGAAAATTATACAGATGGCTTCATCAATTCTTCTCTTCTTGTTTACATATTTATTTGCGAATATCATAATTATGTTGGTGTTCTTTTAATATCTTGTATGAAAAGTAGGTTCTGGAGGATTTTCATTTTTAAATTTTTGATCTAAAGTGCTCTTTCTTTTGAATATTTGCAAAACTACCAAAAATTATAATATAGATTCAAACACTGGGAAAAAATACTCTAGTATCTAGTATAGAGCAGACGTCGGCATTGCACAAAACAATAAGCACCTTATCACTGCAAAAATCTCACGGTTCTGAGATTATTCAAACATCGAAGAGCAGTGTGTCCGCGCCAGCGTCACGCACAGGCGGCGCACGGCGCACGCAATCAGGTGTGCGTAATGACAGCCACATCTGCCGCCACCGGCACCCCCCACCCCCTCGCACCCCGCATTACCGCCAAGTACATTGTACAAGATTGTCGCATTTTAAGGCTCATTAAGGGCACCTTTCTTTTCCTTGTGCTTGTCCAACGCGCTTTACTGACCTATTTTAAGACTATGTACTTTAGGAAAAAATTAATATGTAGAAATAATTATTATCTACTAAAAATATTGAAAGAGCTATTTCTGTACGGGACTTATATACACAGCGGTTTTTGTCCGTGGCTTTGCTTGCTTGCTATATAAAGATAGAAAATAACTTGAGAGTTGCTGTATTAGTATGAATTATGATATAATCGTAGATACGTTCGTTTGTACCTACTTGCTCTGTTAACAGACAAAGAAGAGAGCTGTTGGAAAATATCACTATACATATTGTTGAATAGTCTGCACCCCGCAGTAGATCTAGCTAGGTAGGTACGCAGGGAAAAGTAAAGAGAGTCAGGACAATCTTTTATTTTGTTAATAAACGATTATCCCATATAAATATTTGCAGGATTTTTTTTAATTTAATTGATATTATAGGTACATCTATACATATAATAAAATTCTGAGTCGATTTGTACATTAAATTTTTTGAAAAATCATATCAAAATAGTCATTATTATCGATACAAATTATAGAATTTTTGTCTGTCTGTCTGTTACCGCAACACGAGAAAACCACTGGACAGATTTTGATGAAATTTGGTATGATGATAGCTGGAAACCCAGTTCAACATATAGGATACTTTTACTGAGAAATCCATACTAAACGTTAAAACGTAAATAGGGACGAATCCCAGCGAAGCGAGGGTGAATCGCTAGTTTAAATAATATTTTCAATTTATATGAAGTAAAAATTATATGCTAGTTTGTATTACAGCTATCTCTTTGTTACAATGAATACTTAATATGTATCTACATACATATGTATTTTCATTTCGTTTGACCTAAAAGACAAGACGTAATTTATGAATAAGCTGAAGATAACGGGCGGCGGCTCGGAGGCTGCGCGTGCGCCAGCTGCCTGCAAAAAAACCAGATAAACGGCAGTCGAATACTATCGATTATTATTAGCTAAGCGGCCAGCGCGTTCGTTTGCGTAAGTCTACTGACAAAAACATATTACATGTTCGATATTTATTTTTTGTGAACTTGGTAACAGCTGGCCGGTCGAGAGTGCCTTTTGTGCTCATATATATGTATCTTTGTTTGGTTTATTTGTCATTTGCAATACTTATCGTTGAGATTTGTGGCGATTGTCTTCGAGGAGGTAATACAATATGATGAGTATTTAGTTCGGCATTACACTTGAAGTATTACGAGCATTCAGATAACAGCATTGTATCGAAGGCTCTATTGTCTGCCGTCATACATATATACTTATATTATGATGCAGAGACTGCACCGACGAGCGCGGGCGGACGCAGGCGGTGATCATCTTGTTTTTATTGCAATTTAATTAAATTTAAACAAAGTAGGTATGCTCCCGGCATCAGGGAGTAGAACATTCATCTACGACAATTTCATATAAGATGAATCTCAAAACAATATATTCGTGGAATCTATTGAGAAGGAAGAGGTCTACGGACTAGATGCCGGCTTGGAGGCAGCTGCGCCGTGGAATGCGCACCTGTCGCCATCTCGCCGCGCCGCTCCTCTGCCGCGCGCACACAGCAGATGTACACACACCTCTAACCTACCTCCATAACTAACAACATATTCAGTTCCAGCAGCTATCGTTTCATACAATGTATAATAATAAAACCTTTTATTGTATCGAAAAGAAAGATATTCAAAAAGATAGGAAAATGTACAAGAGGCGGCCTTATTGCTAAAAAAGCGTTTTCTTCCAGGCAACCCTTAGGTGTAGTAAATACTTCGTACTAAAATAGAAGGAGCGCGAATATTAAATAAAGAGATAACAGAAAATGTATATATTTATAAATAATATGGTCATACGTATTTTTCAAATATATAGTCTGTACCTAAATACAAATAAAATATAAATAACCAATAAATGAATACTATAAATAAACACGAGACCAGATTTACTTATGAAGATTATAACAATACATACTAATCACAATACATTTTAATAAGAGGAAAACAGTTCCAAAGACGAGGAGCCATAATAGTAAAGCGGTTGCTATTAAAAGAAGATTGAGAGAGTATTTTAAGGGTTAGGTTGTGGTCAGAGCGAAGAAGATGAGAGCGAGTGCACCCGAGGAATGAGAAACGCTACTTGAGGTAAGGAGGACATGGATCAATCGGAATATAGTAGAGAAGATGGAGAATATGCATATTTCTGCGAAGGCGGATAGGTCTCTTGACATTTTTACGAGATTCAGAAACATGGTCATATTTACGTACAACAAATATAAACCGAATACAAAGATTTTGAAAGTTTATTTCATTGCTCCTCTGTAATATCGAGGTAACAAATATAGAATAATAAAAATAAAAGGAGTGATTATGCCAACGAAATTTTGATGATATTAGGGAGAAAGTTATGCAAACGCTTAAGAGATGCAACCGGTGCAAACATCTTGCTACTCGCGTCACACTTTACGAAACCCACCACACGTTTTGGTCCATAATAATGCCAAGATTTTTTGATTGAATTGCTGTATGGTATGTATGCTCACGCCGCGCCGTCTAAAAATGTACGAGGCAAAAAGTTGAATTCGATTTTATATAGATATAGTAGGTACGTAGAATTATGTAAAAATAATAATTATTCTTTTTTAACCATTTACTTGCGTCTCAATTAATCCTCATCGTATTTCTACTTTATTAGGTTTTATACGCAAACAATTGACGACACGTTTGGCTCAGTTTGTAGTGACCCTACTTGCTGCACCAGCGGTCGCGGGTTCTAGTCCCGCTGGGGGCATTCATTTGTGTGATGAGCACGAATATTTGTACTCCAGTTATGGGTGTTTATATTTATAATATGTATGTATTTAAAAGTTATATATGTATAATGTATCAACTATGGTATCCATAACACAAGCCTCGTAGCTTACCATGGAACTAGATAGTGTTGTGTGTTGATGTCCTGACATATTTATGTTTATTTTATTTATAATTATGTATTTATATGTAATACATAGTTGACATGATTAATTCTTTAAAGCACTAATCTGATTAATTATAATTATTAAATTAATTTACTAATGATGGAGTTTGATTAATATACAAAATTACGTAATTTTTCATGACATCTTTAGTCGTTATTATTCATTGAGTTTGAGAGATGATTTTTAGAAGAATAGGGAATAATAATTCCGTCAAGAGAAAAGGCTGTTGAACCCAAATATCTGAACACGCACGTCGCGAACAAGAACAATGGAATGCAAAGTGAAGGTAACGTGTTGGACGATTCGCGGGATGACAAAAGAGTGCAGAGCGAGAGCCTGCGCGGCGCACCTGCCGGGCGCTGCCACGGCCCGGGCCCGGCGGCGCACGTGCGCCCGCGCATATATAGCGCGCCGCGCCGCGTCTGCGCCCAGTGTGCGAGTGCCGTGCCGCGGAGACGTCCTGCGCTCCCGCAGTGTTCTCATTTCAATATCGTGCTCGTTGTGGAGTGTCCGTATTGTTTGTTCCAAAATGATCATCTGCCTCTCTGGATTTGTGATTGCTGGGTTGGTACCTACGCGTTACACTTTAGTACCTACCTTGCAGATAAATAAATTCATACAATATTTCTATAACTTAAATGTCTTAGTTATAAGCTTTTTAAAAAAATGTAATTCAAGTGTAAATACAAAAGCATAATAATTTGTTTAATAATTACATGTCACTGAAAAATTAATGTTCTTAAAATAGATGTTCAAGTAAAGAATTCTTCAATAATTATTGTACAAATTTGGATATAGATGAATATGTCAAATGTTGTCGATAGAGCTTGAGTTCGAAAACATTGACTGATTATAACCAACAATATTAGACCCGCGAAAGAATCGAACTGGTGCACTTTTGCGTAAGACTTTAGGAGGCTCGGCTTTATCGAAACATTAAAATTATTCTCTTACGTAAAATTTTAATCAATGTTATTTAATTTAAAAGTGAACTCAAAACTGCGTACTGCCTATTGTAAAAAGCAAATTTGTACATACATTTATGTACGTACGTACCAATATACATATGTATGTCAAAATAAAATTTTAAATAATATTAATTGATCTAAATTTCTTTCAGAACATCTCCGTCTTCAATACCCATCTCTTCGAGAAATGACATCATAAGCTCGTGCGGCGCCGCCAGCTACTCGCCGCACCACCACCAGCTGCTGCAGCAGTTCACCGCGCACGGACGTGAGTCCTCGTACTATATTCAGTTTTGAACTGTTTCGATCGATTCATAAGATCATCCAATAATGTATTCATTTTAATTTGTGTTGTCGACAAACACTAACTACAGTCGTTGCCTCAGGCGCGGCGCGGTGCAGCAGCAGCTCGGAGTCCGTGTCGAGCCACAGCGCGTCGCCGCCACCGCACGCCGCGCGCGCGCCGCTCGCCGCGCTCGCCGGTCTCCCCCCGCCCCACGCCTTCCCGCCCCGCACCACGTGAGTACTCGCACACGCCCCACTCCGCCCTCCGCCCACCGCACACCACACTCACCCGCACAATCCCGTTGCAGGCGCGTGCGGACGCTGTACGCGTGTCTGGGCGAGAGCGAGGGCGAGCTGTCGTTCGAGCCCAACCAGATCATCACCAACGTGACGATGTCGGCGGAGCCGGGCTGGCTGCGCGGCACGCTCAACGGCAAGAGCGGCCTCGTGCCGCAGAACTACGTGGAGCCGCTGCCGTAGCCGCCCCGCGCCCGCCCTGCGCCGCCCCGCGCCGCCCAGCGCCGGGACAGCCCTCGCCGCACACCAAATATCATATCGTTGTAGGTTTACGTTGTTAATTGTTTTGTAACTATTTGTATATTTTGTACATTGTAAATACAGAGTTGTTGCTATTTTAACTATTTATACTATATTATACTTACGTTGTGAATTTTGTACCAAATATACTTTAGTGTACGCGGATTTGTATTATAGCATATAAAGTATTACTAATGAAACACGTGTTTTTGTTCTATCTCTTTATTCCCCCACAAGGTTCGGTCGCTCCTATTAAGTCGGCAGTCGTCTGACATGACACAATTGAAATTCGAAGCTCTCATTTTGACTGATAACAGTAACAATTAGAAACACTCAAATGTTAAATTCAATGAAATTTTATTTTTTTACATAAAATCAGATACAAAGCTAATAAAACTAGGATGTTAATATTAATAGAAAGCATACAAATTGAACACAAGGCTACTTTCCATACAGTTTAATAATCGATACAGCAGCGAGTGTACAATTTCGCTCACATCTGTAAATAACGGTCTGATAGTAATCTATCTGGATAGATTGTTAAACAATGGTGTTTACACACTAGACGTAGGTATCTCATTTTACTTCGTCTGATACAAGCGAGTCGTATGAATAATATAGCTTATTCTTAAATATACAGCAAAACTGTGAAACATTTTTAGTCAAATATTATACTACTACTAATGTGAGCCAGAATTTTTAACAGCACTTTTTTATTTACATTTTTAAAATCACTTGTATGACACAGTCGCATTAGTCTAATTCTATAATAACTGTAACATGAAGCCGCGGAAATGTAACAATAAACAGCAAGTGAGCCGATGTTCGCGCGGCGCGGCGCGGGCGGGGGCCGGGGCGAGGAGTCCATCAAAAACTAATTAATATTTACACTTTTACATCGTCATATCATCAATGCCCGCAAAAGAAAGGGTCACATGATGCATGCGAATGCCCCGTGTGTTTACTGAAAGTAATTCATAGAGATCACGGTGCAGAGAGCGGGCGGTTTTTTATTAAGACACAAATGATAAATCAGAATAGGATTGTTTAATTATATAACATTTATATTATTTAAGAAGCTTTTTACAAATCGCATACAAGCAAAGCGCGGGGCCGGTAAGAAATACGGTCGAACGCGGCCCGCGGCGGCGCCTGGCCGCATTAGCTGCGCCCCGCCGCCGACCCCGCCCCCACCCCCGCACCCGCCTCCGCCAGCCACTCCAGCCGCCGGCCCTCGCCCGCGCGCACCACGCGCGCCAGCGCCGCGCACTTGTCCTGCAGCGCGCGCAGCCGCGCCGCGTGCTCCTCGGCCGCGTGCCGCGTCGCGCGCTTCAGCTCGCCCACCGCCGCGTCGCGCGCGCCCAGCGCCGCCTCCAGCTCGTGCGCGCGCGCCGCGGCCGCTTCCGCGCGCGCCGCCGCGCCCTCCGCCTCCGCCTCCGCGCGCGCCAGCGCCGCCCGCAGCGCGCGCTCCTCGGCCGCCGCGCGCGCTGCCGCCGCGCCCGCCGCCGCGCCGCACGCCGCGCGCACCGCCTCGCCCAGCCGCGCCTCGCGCTCGGCCAGCACGAGCAGCTCGCGTCGCAGCCGCCGCACGTGCTCGCCGCGCCGCTCGGCCGCCAGCGCGGCGCGCGCCAGCGCCTCTACGTGGCGCGCCGCCTCGAACTGCTCGCCGCGCGTGCGCCGCAGCTCGGCCGCGTCCAGCGCGCGTTGCGCCTCGGCCTCGTGCAGCGCCGCCTCGGCGCGCAGGCGCGCGGCGCTCTCCTCGGCCAGCGCGGCCTCGAGGCGCAGCTCGCGCTCGGAGGCGAGGGCGGCGGGCGCGGCGGGCGGCGCGGCGCGCGCCAGGCGCTGCAGCGTCTCGTCGCGCTCGAGCTGGGCGTCGCGCAGACGGTCGCGCAGCGCCGCGTTCTGCAGCTCAAGCGCGCGCGCCTGGCGGCAGCGGCCCAGCAGGCGGCGGTTGCGCTCGGCGTAGGCCTCGCGCCGCCAGCGCTCGTACATAAGCTGCGCATGCACGAGCGCGAGCTGCTCGGCGAGCTCGGACGAGCTGGCGGCGACGCGACCCGAGTACAGCTCCGACAGGTAGTTGTCGAGGCGCTCGCACGGAGGGACCGGCTCGTCTATTTTGTCGCTAGAGCACTGTAAAAAAGTTAAATAAACAAGCTTATTAAGTTAAACGGTTCCACTGTGCCACAGATCGTGTAAACAAACATTTCTAATATATTAATATTAAATTATTAACTACTAAATATTTGCATGATATTTTTAAAAAACTTTTAAGCTATTGCATAGCTTCTATCGCGGGCCTTGAGCGTGGGGACCGAATCCAGAAATTCCGTAACGAAAAAATCTGACACCCCCCACTCCGACCGGCACAGCGGTGATACTTTTTAGTTTTTCCATCTATCGATAAATACCAGAACTTTTAATGACTTTTTGAAATATCACGCTTGTCTCTAGTTCAGCAACCCGCCTTTAGGTGGCATTAGTTGTATTGGAAAACTACCGTAATCAGCTGTTAGTGAGAAAGTATTAAGAGTGAGGCGTATATATCGGAACAGGTTAAAAAAACAGGTTTTTAAAAGTAACAACATGGAACTGTTCCGTCATAACCGAAAAACCTGTTCCTGTTCCAAAACGTACCTATTACGATTTACGAAACAGCAAACAATTGTCAATACGAATCTGTTACAGATACAAAATGGAACTGGAACACCATGGAACTAGCCTGTTCTATGTTCTATACATAATACATATAATAAAATTGTACTATGTCGAATCTGTACATTAAATATTTTTTGGAAAATCTTATTGAAATAAACATTATTATCGATACAGAGGCCGAATCTATAGTTTAGTTTTTAGAATATCTATAGTTTTTAGAATTTTTGTCTGTCTGTCTGTTAACGCATCACAGAAAAACCACTGAAGGGATTTTTATGAAATATGGTATGGTGATAGCTGGTTATCCGGGTCAACATATAGGATACTTTTACCGCGGGAAAATATCTCATTTCTGAGAAAAAATATAAAAACTGCAATGTAAGAGTATACTAATATGTAAAACCTAAGAATTTGGTTTTTGGTCATCTGAACGCGGGTGGAGCCGCGGGCAATGCTAGTCTAATATATGCTAATAGGAACTTAGAAAGAGACAGGTTAATATTGTTCTCATCTTATTGTTCATGTATGATCTGTGGTTCTTAGCTCTTTTACTTACTGTTCACACATTTGGATACACATAAAAAACTATTTGGGAATTTACAGTTGAAAATGAAATAAAAAAAAAACAACAATATTTTCGCGTAATATTATTATGTTATTGTGATTTTATTTTAAATAAACTTTAAAATTAAATATTGTTTTTGATATACCTAATTTAATTAATATATTACAATTTAGTTCAATAAAATTAAAAATGAAATTTAGCTACTAAAATTTCAATAGTATGTTTTTTACGTGTATCCGAACGGCTTAGTCTGTTATTGTAGTATTGATGGAACAGACTGTTATTTTGGAACAGGTTATTGAAACTGTTATATCATTGGAACAGGAACAGGTGTAACAGGTTTCCAATTTTTCCTAGTATGAACCACCACTACAAAGTATATACTATATAGGTGGATCACTATAATTAAGACACCACTTGAGTATCGCACACTATTAAAGACGATTTTATAAAATTTACAACAGACATATGTATTTTAAAGAAAACATCTTGCCAGCGTGATTCAGAAATGAGGCAACCTACTAGTAGCGACATCTCTTGGCAGGAATCGGAACTAAACCCGACAATAGGTGTATAGGTATTTATCATCTATGTACAACAGTGAATATCTGTACTCGTATAATTTGTGTACAAAGTGTTTTAAATATGAATAAACAAAGTGCATTTATTAATGAAGAAAGTCAAGGTAAAAAATATAATGCATTAATAAAATAAATAAATAATTATAATTGCATAAGTTGATAAAAAATGCTATGCAATAGCTTTACCGCGGCAGTCTCCGAGTGCCACATTTATTTATTTTTTTCACATTATTTGATTGTTAAAGTAAGTTAATAAAGATGTTACATAACATTGAGGTGTTTTTATTAGAATATTTTCTAAATTTTACACCAGGGCTCAGAAGCCGTTCAATTTTATTCATTGATCCCAAACCTTTCCAACCAAACTTAACCGAAACCTTAAACCGAAAAGCTTTTCGATTTAAGGTTTCCTTCTTTAACCGGTTAAAACGGGAGAACGGATTTTGACGAATTTTGATACTAGACAACTGGGCCACGTAACTACAAACGTGTATGTATGCCATTTGCATTTTGTTATGTTAAAAAGAAGGGTCATGTTTAGTAGATGCAGATTGATTAAAAATGTACGGTGCCCACGCAGACGAAGCGAGCAGTAGCTCAGCGACCAATAGAAACTAAAATAACTGACCTGTTTTCGGTTTTCTTCAGAGAGATTGCGATAGAAGTCTGCTATGAGGAACTCGTAGGGCGCCGGCCACACATCCAGCGTCTGCACCGCCACCGACACCGCGTGGCCACCCTGCGCGCGCGGCGAGCACGAAGCCGCGCGCCGCGCCCCGCCCGCCCCCGCCCCTGCGCGCCGCCCGCCCTCGCCCGCGCGCGGGTCCCTTGCCACCGGCGTCCTCGTGTCCGCGCCCACCCACGCGCGCTCGGCGCGCGCGCGCTCCGTGAGCTCCAGCACCTCACGGTCCTCTATGTTCAGCGGCTCCGGGTCGGCGGCGGGCGCGGCGCGGCTGGGCTCGGGCCGCGCCACTGCGCCCGCCGGCGGCGGCCCCCCGCCGAACGCCACCGGCGACTCCGCCGCGCGCCGCTCCAGCGCCACGCGCGCCAGCCGGGCCGCGTAGCCCTCCCCGCCCCCCACGCCGCCCGCCGGGGGCGACGTCTCCTTGCGCAGCGGCGACGGCGGCTGCGAGCGCCGTCCGATGGCGCGCACCACGGCAGATTCGGTGGGGAAGCGGAATTGTGCCCTCGTCTCCTTGGCGGGCGTATTCTCGGGTGTGGCCTCGACGGCGGCCTCCGGTGGCTCCGCGGCGTCGGCGTCGGTCGGCAGCGGAGTGTTGGGCGCGGAATCGGCGCCGCAGCGGTCGCCCAGCGCGAACCAGGGCTCGGCGCCGGGCCGCAGCGCAGAAGCAGCACGCGTGGCGTGCGCACCGGATCCGGGCGCAGGGGAGGGCGGCGCCTCGGGCGCGGGCGCGGGCGCCGGCGCGCGCTCCTCGACCGCCCGCCCACCCTCGGCTAACACGTCGTATATTTCGAGGCGTGCTAGGCGCGTGGCGTCGGCCTCCAGCTGGCGCGAGCCTGTGACCAGTGCGGGATGAAAGCGCACGCAGCGCAGCAGCGGCGCCACGCCGCGCTCCCACAGCTCACGCATGTCGCCGGCGGCACACTCGGCGCGCAACGTCTCGAGCAGCGTGCAGGGGTGTGTGGTGTAGAGCGCATGGAAGAGCGCGAGCTGCGCCAGCTGCAGGTGGTCGCGCGCGGGCGGCGGTAGGTCGAGCGCGGCGGGGCGCAGCAGCGCGTCGGCCAGGTCGGGCCAGTGCGGCGCCGCCAGCGCGGGCTCGGCCGGCAGCAGCGCGGCCAGCGCCAGCAGGGCGTATAGCAGCGGCAGCAGCTCGCGCTCGAGGCGCGCGGTGCGCAGCAGCTCGCGCGCCAGCGGGTGCGCGGGCAGGCGGTGCAGCCAGGGCGGGCGGCGCGCCACCAGCGGCGCCAGCGCGGCCAGCGCGTGCAGCCGCGCGGTCAGGTCGCCGCGCAGCTGCTCGTGCAGCGCGTCGAGCAGGTGGCGCGCGTGCGCGTCGGGCGCGCGGACGAGTAGCTCGAGCGCGCGCGCGGATCCGGTGCGCGAGTGGTACATCAGCAGCGAGCGCGTGAGCCAGGGCTCACGCACGCTGTTGTAGAGCGCTGCGATATTGTCGAGGGTCTCGCGCGCCTCCAACAGCGCGAACACCTCGCCTGACTCGCACGCGGCTAACATCTCCGACCACCTAGAAATGAATAATAAAAGATCTTTTTTATTTATGTACACTTTTGATATAATAAATTTTTGAATACAAAAAATGCATTTTGTTACTCTCTCATTATTCTCTATTCTCCTATTTACATTAGACACAAAAATGTTTTATTTATCTGGGGCATACTTCTGCTTATTTTATTGATATGTTCTTTTTGCAATTAGTTTTAAGTAACTTCCCAAAAAAACAGTTATACATAATTGAAACTTAAGTACTAACAACTTAACATAATAAGTATATTTATTTTATCACATACAGTAGTTCAAAGAGTAAAAATAACTTCACATCTTAGAAACTGTACATCAAACATATTATTTGGGGGATCATACAGAGTAAAAAATAAACAAAAATATCACATACTTTTGTTATCGTCATGAAAATAGATATTAATAACAAATGTTCATGCTTATATATTTATGTTGTGACTGTATTCATCTCTTTGCTTCTTTGATTTGTAAAAAAATATGTTTTATAGCTTAATAACTAAGGAGAGTAATAGGCTATCTAATATCTTCTACAAGTTATAACCCTTAGGACTGGAGCAATTATGCACAAAAAACAATGTAAGCAAAAGTAAGTTTTAATATAAGATAATTTCACTAGTTAGTTTTTAAGAAATTACAATGTTTTTATCGACTGCGCGGCGCAAAGGAGGGTGATGTGTTTATCAGCCTATGTATCTTTATATATATAATTCTTCTGTGAGTGTGTATGTCACTGAACTTCTCTCAAACGACTGGACCGATTTTGATGAAATTTTTTGTGTGTGTTCAAGGGGATCTGGGAATGGTTTAGATTCACAATTTGAATAATAATTTTCATCAAAAAAATTATTAAAAAAAGTTTAAAATTTTCAAATTAAAGACGTGTAGACAGGACAACGTCTGTCGGGTCCACTAGTGTATAAATAAAGAAATAAAATGTTGGGACATTAACGCATAGCACCATCTAGTTCCATAGTAAGCTACAAGGCTTGTGTTATGGATATCAGATAGTTGATATACTACATATAACTTTAAATACATACATATTATAAATATAGACACCCATGACTGGAGTACAAACATTCGTGCTCATCACACAAATGAATGTCCCCAGTGGGACTCGAACCCGCGACTCCTGGCAAAGCAAGTAGGGTCACTACAAACTGAGCCAAATGTGTCATCAAATGTTGTATGTATGTGGGTTTGTACCTTTGTGGCACTATTTAGACCAAATGCATGGGCCAATTTTGATAAATGACACGTCGCGTCGTTTGATTCGTCATGACGGCGCGAGTGCTATAGAAAGCATAAAATTTTGACAAAATCAAAATGGCCGATTTTGGAGGTCAAAATGTAAAAAAGAAAAAAATGCAAATCGATGAACTATGTCAAATGGGGTATCATTGACTATGTACTTGAAAATCATTTTAAGAAACCTATTCTTTCATAATTTTTCATTTTAATAACAGTTTAGGACATATAATGATTCAAAGTTGATAAGCAACCATTCTCACTAATTTTCCTACTCAAAAATACTTAAAAAGCTGTAAATAAATAAATATATTATAAAAATTAAAAACCCCAGATGCATAAAAATTAACTAAAAAGATGAAAACAAGTTCACAAAGGCATAAAAAAGATATAAGAAGATCTGACTTAGAGTGTAAAAGAATAATAACATACACTAATTTATCTGAATACATGCTTGCACCTCAGACTTGAGATATTATTTTTTAGTTAGCACCTAACCAAGTCAACCTTGCACCTAAAATTCATCTGGCTCACTAGTTAGGGTTATTTATGAAAATAAATAATTTTGGCTATATTTCATGAAAATTTCTTTAATATATAGAAAAATTAGGGTAGTAAGTTTATTCTATAAGGTTTTTATTTTTAATAATAAACAGGGTAATTAGTTGTATTATATTATAAACAGAAGTGTTGTGTGTATGTTAACAGTAAGATATAGTACAAGTAAGACTATCAGTTTTAAACTTTTACATAAAGATAAGTCCAAATATTTTGCATTATAGCTGTCATGATTTTCAATGGTGAAACAGTGACAGATGACTTTTCATATTTTTTAGCATTTCACCATTTAAAATATAGACTTTTAAAAACAGAATAATTAAGACTAATAAGCACTCCGGTTTATTTTACAACGTGCTATTGGTTCACTGTTGTGAGGCAATAAATATAAATTTCATACCAATTAGCAGTTCGGAGAGAATTTCCTTGGTTTATCGCAGCTGGAGGAATTTTGATTAAAGCTAGTCACACTTCAAAGAAATTATATAACTACTTTGTAGTTTTCTAAAGTAAGAAGTTAAATTTATTAACAAATATCTTTAATGTAAAACAAAAAGACCGATACATTTGACATTGACATGATAATTCTCTAATTTTTCTACATTCCCGGCTCCCTAATCGTATAGAGATACAGACCGTTCACAATTCTTGAATTCACAAGTATTAACAATTTAACAGCTGTTGTAATTTGTTGCAAAATGTGATACAGAATGCGATATGTTTTTATGTTATATAAAATATTTTTAAGAATTACTAATATTTAATTAAACAAAATAAAGTATCTAACAAATTGATAGAAATAATTTAGGTAAATTATCTATAGCACGTTATTTGCGTTATTTCTTTTTAACGGACGAACAAACGATGGTGTTGAATGATGGTGGTATGATTTTGACAAATTGAAAATATAGGCTTTTTCTTGCCTTAATTCATTAAACTAATTGAAAACTTAGATCGATAATATTGAAAAAATTATATATACAAATAATAAAGTTAATATTTAATAAGTCATCTACAAAATAAATATATAAAATTATATAAAAATTAAAATAAGTTGGTTATTTGAATTTTTCACATTAATTACTACTTTGCTATTTAAGTTTTTTCCATAGGACTCGTAGTTTTGTCGGAAATCGAGATAAACCGTTTTTTACTCTTAAAAACTCACCCCCTCCCCCTTTCCGACCTCAGATCGCCCGTAAATTATGTTTCCCTTCATTTTTGTTATATTATTTTCCTTTTCCAATGGATTTCATCCTACTATTATTATTTTTTGTTTCAAAAATTATCGACCCTAGTTTATGTGATCTAAATAGCTTCCTGACCCAGTAGACTTTCCTTTGTCTCCTTTGCCTTTTTGCCTTTCATCTACAGACTTCGCTCTGTTCATCCCTAGCTTGATTCCTCATACAAATTTTCATCCCCATTTCTACTCCCACAAGGGATTATTCCCGAGATAAAATAGTATCCTGTGTCCTTTTCAGGGTCTCAAAATATCTTTTTTCCAAAACCAAAAAATTACATCAAAATTGGTTCAGTAGATCCAGAGATTACCACCTACAACGTCACAAACTCACATTAATCTCACAAACTTACAAACTCACAAACTTTACCTCTTTGTAATATTAAATATGGTGTTTCTAGAGGTACCTTTTTTAAATAACGGGACTATCATTTAAATTGGGAAATCTGATGACTGACGACTTCGACGAAATTTAGCACACAGATAGACTTTTTTTTTAATGTTGGGAAATACATTTAAGCATACCGCCTGTATACACACATGTAGGACTCACCGGCTAGAAAAGCCAGTACTACCGCCAAAACCCCGCGCCGACGACTACCGCCCCGACGGCAGGCCACCAACAACAGCCATGAGATGGCCCCAACAGTCCACTCTGCTATCAGAGAAATACCAACTACCAGGAGCAACCCGCCTGGCCATAGCCCACCGAGGTGGGCCACCTCCCAGTGCGCTTACGCTTCTTAAGCTAAATCTAAAGCGTATATGGGTACTTTTCAACCGACGTCCTTAAAAACGAGAAAGTTCTCATTCGGCTGTATTTTTTTTATGTTTGTTACCTCAGAACTCTTATTAACCGATTTAGACAATTTTGTTTTGTTTAAAAGTGTATACTTCCTGATTGGTCCCATTTAAATTTAAAAAAAAAATACGACCCCTAAGGGTGGAAAAATAGTTAATGATGAATTTAACCTACTTATTATTGTCATATTGACTTGAAATTTTACAAGTGTTTCTATTTCCGTTGATAGTGCAATTGTTCGGTATCGTTGACCTGATCTGATGGTAAGGCCAGAAGGTGGATAGGTGGAACTCTTCAACGGCTAATAGTAGATACTTTGAGTTTGGGCTTATTTTGTTTGATTTGACAAGCCTAACGCCTAACTACCCTTAGAATCGGATTTTAGAGCAAGAATTATTAGTGTTACTAATAAAAGTGAATTTTAATTTGTAAGTCTTCGTATAAAAATTGGTATCAAAGTAACTTCGGTTTAAAGATGCTTTATTTCTCAAAAGAATAACATTCACTTAATGAGAAAACTTATAAGTAGGTAGTTGAATATTATTTACATCGTGAACATGATACAAAACAGAAATAAAAATGTTATAGGTATAGAAACATCAAATATCAATCATTAGGTTTAATACACAAATTTTATATTTAGTCAAACAACATCATTTTTACATAATGTTGTGGGTAGAACGGTGTTACAACTAGAATATTTACGTACTTAATTGGTAAACACAAAGATATAAAGAACTTCAACGGTTTAAGCGAACTAATTTCTTCTTATTTTGCTACTGCTAACTGACTGGAAGTCGGTTAAAAACTTTTTAACAATAAAATAAAAACCGTCTACAAAAAAAAGCATAAAAAATTAAAAAATAACTGCATGGTAGTTTTCATTTACTATACATACCTAATCAAATATTTTCGAAGTCGGTGCCAGTCGATACGAAGCAAAGCAGGTTTTTATTTTTTTTTGTTAATAATTTTTTATCATAAATAATGTATATTTTAACTGATTGGTTTTGATGCTTATGTGGAAACAATGATAACATAATAAATACCCTAAAGGCTTTATATAAACTCAGTGATTATTTATTTCTTATTAAATGTAATAATCTGTTAAACTTAAACGTCAAATTTATAACCTTAAAATATTTTGACTTTGAAGTTTGAGTTGATTTTAAAACATGATATAAAATGTGATGAAATTTGCAGAAATGCCATTGAAAATAAGATAAAACTTCATTTATTTTGAGTATTTATTGAAGCCTGATTATTTATAAGGCAATTAAGATGCTCAGAGCAGTAACAAGCATTTATATCGAGAGACAATCAATTGCTCGAAAAGATATTTTTAAAGTGTTTCGTAAGTATTAATGTTTGGAATTTTTTTTATTAAATAAATTCAATCAGATAAAATATAAGTATTATTTACTATTTTTTTAAATTAAATATTCCATTGATTTTTTTTGTTATTTCTGCCAAAATATACTTATTTTACTCAAAATATATCATATCTGTTTGTTAGTTATTTAATTTTTTTCTAGGCGTATGTTCTTATTCGAGTGCCTCTTCTGGAGATCAAGTAAGTGTAAAATTAAATTGTGTATCTTTTTCTGGGATTATGTAGTAAAATTGACCTATTGAATTAATAATTAGTTAAATATTTATTCAATATGTAAGTTTTAATTTAATATTTTTAGTTCAGAATGTTAAGTTATGCGATTTTTTAACAATATATATTTATTAAAGAAAATTAAAGAAATAGTTAATTGGGTATATATAATAAAATATATTATAAAAAAGTTAATTAAAAAAATATATAAAAAAGAAAGTCTTTTGTAATGATTCAAAAAAGTTTCAATACATAATTTTTAGAACTGAGTAAAGTATAATATGAAGTCCAATAAAAGTTTTATTAGAGGTTTGTATGTTTTACTGTGAAGTAGGACTAAACTGTACATTTATGCAATAATACATTTTGTTTATGCAAGCGCACAAGGAAATTGAAAAAATACAAAACGGTAATTTATTATATTATTATAAGAGTATTTATGCTCATTTTAATACAAATGGTGAGTACAAGCTTAGTATGTTACATGGCCCCAAGAGGAATGAGTTATGTTTAACAAAAGTGAATATATTAAAATTATTTTAAATGAAATGAAGGAGACAAAAGTTATGAAGATTTCAAATAACAACATTACTATTTATGAGTATGGAATTTGCTAAAAATAAAATAACTGACCTTGTAGTGTTACTGTTCGTAGTTATAAAATTAAAAATTCTAAATATTGAGCAACATCAATTGCCCTGTTTATAAATTTAAAAAATTAAAAATATTTAAAATTGTATTACTTATTTAAAAATTATAAATATTAAGCAACACTTTTGCCATATTTATAAAAGTTAGTATGTTTTAGTTTTTAGTTTTGTGTCTAGATCAATTAATATTTGTTTCTATTCGGAACTTTGCAGACTGTTTTGAGTCATCACAATAGTATAAGGAATCCCAATGGTGAGCAAACGCGCCCGCCCCCAGCCGGCGCGGCGGGCGTCGGCGCAGTCCCGGGGGGCGCCGCCCGGCCGCCGCCGCCCCCTCCCCGCTCGCCGCGCACCTGGTCTGCCCTAGCCGCCCTTGCAATCACAGCATCACTTGGTGGTGTGAGTATAATATGTATGTAATGCTAGCTCACATTCTTACTAATTGGCATTAATCTCTTCAATCCAAATCCAAAAAAAATAGCCAAACAAATTTTTATAATCGAAATCTACACGTTTGCATGTATGTTTTGCAGACGTCGACCTCATATTGGCATAGATCCGAAGCATGGATGGCATAGATTTTGCTGTTGCGTATTCTTGTTGCGTTGGTGCGTGTGGGCCCGGTCCTGGTATAACTCACGTGCAACGATCTCTTTAATTTTTTCTGCTTAAATCCATTTTATATATGCAGGTATACTACTACCGTAAGCAGAATGATATTCCTGAAGACACAATTACAGCCAAAGGTATGTCTTATTATACAACAAATTAAAAAAATATATAATATGTAGGTATGTTTGTCAATATATTAATTTTATTATAAAGATGAGAGTAATGTAAACGCGAAAGCCGGGGAGGGTGACGAGAGAGAGGAGGCGGCGAGCCCCGCCTCGGCGGAGGCGCTGCCGGCGCACGTGCAGTACCTGCTGGTGGGCGGCGGCACCGCCTCCTTCGCCGCCATGCGCGCCATCCGCAGCGCGCGACCCGACGCGCAGGTGCTCATCGTGGCGGCCGAGCCCGCGCTGCCCTACATGCGCCCGCCGCTCAGCAAGGAGCTGTGGCGCGAGCGCGACCTGGCGCGCCAGGCCACGCGCCCCGACGCGCTCGCCTTCCGCCAGTGGAACGGCCGCCGCCGCCCCGTGCTCTACGAGCCCGCCGCCTTCTACACGCCGCCCGAGCGTCTGCGCGATGCCGCACCCGGCGCCGGCGTGGCGCGCGGCTGGCGCGTGGTGCGCCTCGACCCCGCGCGCCACGCGGCCGAGCTGGCGGCGGGTGCGGGACCGGCGGGCGCGCGCCATACGCTCACTTACGACAGGGCGCTGGTGGCGACGGGCGCGCGGCCGCGGCGCGTGGCGGCGCTGCGCGCGGCGGCCGCGGCGGGGCGCTCGCTGGCGCTGCGCGGCGTGCGCGACGTGGCGCGCCTGGCCGCGGCGCTGGACGACCCCGCCACGCGCACCGTCGCCGTCGTGGGCGGCGGCTTCCTCGCCACCGAGCTGGCGGCCGCGCTAGCCGAGCGACGTGAGTATCTTCGGCGACCTCTCCGAGCGTTCGCGCGCCGCGGGGAGCTCACTCGACGTTAACGGTTGTGTTTCTGCCGGACAGTGCGTGAGGAGGGCAAGCGCGTGGTGCAGGTGTTCCGTGAAGAGGCGCCGCTGACGCGCGTGCTGCCGGCGTACCTGGCGGCCGAGGCGGCGCGGCGGCTGGCGGCGGCCGGCGTGGAGCTGCGCGCGCGCCGCGAAGTGACCGGTGGCGCGCTGCGCGGCGGCCGCGTGGCGCTGGCGCTGGCGGCGCCCGGCGCGCGCGGCGCGGTCGGGGAGGGGGAGGGTGGGGAGGAGCTCGAGGCGGAGGTGGTGGTGGAGTGCGTGGGCTGCGAGCCGGCGGCCGAGCTAGCGCGCGCGGCGGGGCTGGAGGTGCACGAGGCGCTAGGCGGCGTGGTGGTGAACGCCGAGCTGCAGGCGAGCTCCGACGTGTTCGCGGCCGGCGACGTGGCCTGTTTCTACGACCCGGCGCTGGGGCGGCGCCGCGTGGAGCACCACGACCACGCCGTAGTGACGGGCCGCCTCGCCGGCGAGAACATGGCCGCCGTCGCGCCGCCCAAGCCCTACACTCATCAGAGCATGTTTTGGAGCGACCTCGGCCCGCAGCTCGGCTATGAGGTACAAACTTTTCTATTTTATTTATTAATTTTCCATCTTTCGCTCGACTCGCTTGGCTTACTTATTGTTAACTTTACAGGCGATAGGTATTATAGACTCGCGGCTGCCGACGGTGGGCGTGTTTTCGGCGGATGCGGTTGGAGACGAGGTGGCGGTGCGCGGCGCGGTTAGCGCGGCGGGGACGGAGGCCGGGACGGGGGCGGAGGCCGGGACGGGGGCGGAGGCCGGGGCGGGGGCGGAGGCCGGGGCGGAGGCGGGGGCGGAGGCGGAGGCCGGGGCAGGGGCGGCGGCCGAGGCGCGCGAGGCGCCGCAGCGCTTCGAGCGCGGCGTGGTGTTCTACCTGCGCGACAAGCGCGTGGTGGGCGTGCTGCTGTGGAACCTCTTTAACCGCATGCACGTCGCGAGACAGGTAAACTATTTTTCATAGATAAATCATAATTAAAGTTTGTCCATTTTATTAATACTTTTTTGACAGCTCGACGACTGACAAGTTATAGTGATGTCCTAAAGGAAGGCACATACTAAATTGGGCAGTACCCGTCCATGAAGTACAATATTATTTATATGAAATTTTTACTTAAACAATACGAAACTTATGGGCGTTAGCTGTCAAAAAACTATTAATAAAATGGACAAACTATAACATGAAATCGAATGTAATAATTGTAGATCTGCAAAAACGGTTATATTAAAATATTTTAATTTTTACACGCGCAACTCCGTCCACGCTAGAGTTACAAAGATGAACCACGTTCCGACTTAACGCAGAAATATATGATATTACACGTAACAACACTTAACAAAACTGTCACTTCATAGTCAAAAGGTATCTTTAGTCAATTTAAGGATTCTTTTCCTAGTAGCTACATGTGACATGTGTATCGTAGTTGGCCTCAGCAGAAGGTTCGGCCGTACTTGCATTACTGATCAAATTTTATGAAAATTGTTATATACAACATACTATAGAGCGTTTTAAAACTTGTTGCAGGTGTTGGCGCACGGCGAGTTTGAAGATCTCTTTGAAGTCGCTAAACTATTTTCACCGCATGAGGAAGATTAATTTTATTGAGCATTTAATTACTTGTATATATTATTTAGATTAATAAAACTTAAATAACGAAATGGTTTTTTTTTGGAACGAAGTGCCTTCGGAGCGGAGCGAGACGGAAAAAAATTGTAATGTACTTTTTTTTTCGACACTCCTTGCTATAGTTACTGCCGTGTATGAACTATATACATCGCCGCACATAGCTCTCCCGCGTACCGAAAGACCGCTCTCTTCTCTTCGTTTTTTTTTTATAATTGTTCGCTACAAAGGTTGTTACCGAACATCTAAGCAAATAGTAATAATGCTTAGTAGGTGTGTTATAAATACATAGAAACACTCCTAATAAAGCATGCATGTTCGGACAGCAATCAATACCGGCTGCATTCATTTTTATTAATTAGCATTAATTTATCAGTATATCATATTATTATTTATACTATAATACATTTTTTTTATTTATCATGATAAAACAGTGTATAAATAAACGTATAATTTCAGGACGAGGAAAATAAGAACACAGTAAACCAATGCAATAAGCTTTTTATTATAACTTTTTTCTTTAAAAGTTTTATAATGTCACTTCAATTTTTGTATTTCCATCTATTGTCACACTTAAATATAATTGTAACGATCACTTAATATCACTACTACGAGTATTTAACCAATCACACGAAAACTCTATCTTTTCACTTTTTATAAAATGTATATTTTTATTATATAATATTTTGATAAATATAAATAAAAATATAAATAAAATTACATAAAAATATAAATAAAATTACAAGATTCTATTTAGTTTCACATGTCTCGTTGTCTGTCTGTCTCTGTAATCAAATCTTACAAGTTTTTGATCCACTTCTAATTGTCCGATTGTGCTGAAATTTGGCACACACGTTGGACTCTCGTGACTACGATTTCCCAAATGCCACCATTTTTAATCCAATACGATGGACAGACGTTACAAAATAGCGATTTATTATTTGCATAGTGACTCATATGATATGGGTATCAAATGAAAGGGCTTGATGAGTGAAACACAATAAGCAAAGTGACGTCATTATGAAATTTAATATGACTGTTTATTTTGCACCCCCTTGATATGGATATCAAATGAAAGGGTTTACTGAAAAGAATACGAAAAAAAGTAAGAAATATTAAAAAACAGTTAAAACATTTAAAAAAAAAAGCTTTTATTTAAATGCTCTAAAAAAACAAATAAGTATAACTTCTTGCGTGCGTAAATAAGTATACACAACTTTTTTTCCTATAAATGTTTCTTGTGTTTTTTATTAAATTGACATAACTTTTTTATTTATGAACCGATTGAAATAAAAGCAATACTAAATGTTAAGTGAAGCTTACCATAAAATACATTCCTGAAAACCGCATTCAAATCGGTTAAGCCGTTCCAGTACACAAGCGCTAGACTAGATGCGATAATCTTCGGAAGTCGTTGGCGCGGCAGTGTGACGGGCGAGCGTGGAGCTCGCCGCTCGCTCGTTGCTCTAGTGTTGTTCTAGCTCTAGTGTTGTATGGATACAAGTTGACCGGGCGCGCAGCGCAATTTTTTATAATACATGATATATTGTAAAGTAATTCGTAACACTCGTAACCTGACTCAAACATAACTCTGTCGACAAAAGTAGGTACGTAGAGTTACAAGTTGGGGTTAATAAATGAAACTTGTAATTATTAGTAATGAGTAGAATCGAGTAGAATATTTATTATCAAAAATGTGCATCCTTATATACAAAAAATATAAAAAATTTACAAAATAATTGACCAATAAAAATGTGTACATTAAAATAATTATAATTAGAAAATTATACTAACTAATAAAAATCTTAGTTTTATTTAAAACATGATCGGTCGTAACATTAGAATGAGATAAAAATACCGCGAATCTTCTGCTCTCATGGATTCTGGGAATTCTGGGATTTCGCGCGGGCCGCTGAAGTTATAAACTTAACTATTAACTAGGCAGTCGATGCGCGCGGGCATTTGTCCCGCAGCGCTCGCAACGAATGGATCTGCAGTCTGGCTACGCGTAGTACCCCACACGTACTTACGTAACTTTTCTGTGTTTCACGAGACGTCTAGTGTAGCTACATAGACATACATGATCCAGGTGGGGCAGTTGATCTCCTTGCTAAACACCTTTTTGAATTTGGAAAGAAAGACCGATTGTGTGTGTTTTGATGTTGGCTTTGCTATGGGCAGGGCCGGATTTAGGGATGTGGAGGCCCTGGGGCAACAAAGGAGTGGAGGCCCCTAATGATTTTTCCTATAAATTGATGAATTTTTTAGTCAAGTGTTTAAAATATTTATTGCGAAACAAATTAAATTATTCCAATAAACATATGTAGATATAGTAAAATACAAGAATTATTCGAAATTAAATTACAGCGTTAATGAATGGAACCTTGAGAGCTTTTTTCCACGAAAAATCGTTGATGATTTCGGTAAACATTGATGCTTTTTTATATGGATAGGTGTCTTAAATTAGCTTTTAAAATGACCATAATAGGCTTAGTGAAAGCATTAATAATCTATGATGAAGCTACTTTTTAAGTAAAAGAATATACATAATTTTAATATAACAAAATATTATACTGAGATAGTTGATAAATAAATAAATTAAAACTGTGTTTTAGTTCCATCAATTGATTAGTTGTAGCCGGAGAGCTATTTTTCTATTTTGGAATAGAAACAAATAATTTTGAGATGTGGATAAGTATTGTTTTACTAAAACTAAGCAGATTTTTGATGGACAATAATAACACACTCCAGAAAAAAAATGCATTAATAAAAAAACCGACTGCATAAAAAACTGATTAAAAAAGAGAACAAGTTCACGAAGGAGCATAATATTGTCAGTATTTTGTAGCCGGAAACATAGACACACGCAGCTATTCTAAAACATGTAGGTACATAGTAGGTATATGTATGTCTCCGACTGCATAATACTATGTTCCTTCGTTAACTTACCGGTAACGCTACAGAAGTGTATTCACATAGTGAATATCGATCAAACAACATCACTTAGTCACATCAACCACAACGTAGTGTTCTACAACATCCAATAGAGGGTCTTAGTAGTTATTGGTATTGATACATAAAAACTTTTGATTTATTTTATTTATACTTATATTTCAATTAATAATCATGGAGGAAATTATGAAAGTATTAAAAAATATTCAAGATGATATTAAAATACAAAATCTCGAAATAACAAATATGAAACAAACAATAGTTGATGAAAATTAATTCAAATATAAATAAAAAAAATTAAAATCTAGTAAGAAAACCCAGGTCCTGGAGAAAGTGAATGAGGAGCAAACTAAAATCAACTAAAACAAAGAAATGTAATATATTTTTTGGTCTTGAAGAAAAATAAAAACAGTATAAAGAGCTAGAGGAAAAAATAGTTTCAATTATTAAAACTAGTATGAAAATTCTTTGTGTGTCAAAACGAGATTTTGAATATGTTAAGAGAATTGAAGTAAAAAAGAAGACGGAAAAATAAGACCTGTTCTAACAACAAACACTATGGGGTTTAAAATAGACATATTAAGAATCTGTAAATATTTAACGGAAACAGGGCTATATATAAGAGAAGACTATACTCAAAAAGTTTTACAAAGAAGGAAAGAGCTACAGGAAGAATACAAAAGGGTGAAAAAATAGTAATGAAAAGAGACAAAATAGTTAGGTACTTTATATGCCAAACAAACCCACGAAAATAATTTATTTACTAAGGAATGCAACCATATCTATAAAACCTATTTTTTTTCTCCGGAAATTTAAAAAACACTTAAAAGAAATATTTTAAAAACAGCAAAAAAGTATAAAACATTAGAATCATATTTAGTATCTCCATCTACTTCAAATTTAGCACAAAATAAGCAAATAAAACAGGCTCCTTTCCACGCAATCACGTGTAAGAAAAGTATTCTGTCACAAAAAAACTCTTCCACTACGGACGGTAAAAGACAACCACCCTCCATCCAAATGAAACACTTATATTGGAACATATAATATACGCTCTCTTGTCGCTGAAGACACAAACGAATAATTAAATACTAATAAAATAATAATAATAATAAAATAATATTATTAAAGCAATATTATTACATTGTAAAAACATTGTAAAAAAGAAGATTTTCGTATATTATATTATGTCAATAGTAGTAGTAAGTATGATTCATAGTATTCTGCAGTTTATAACTATACTCTTTGGTATTCTGTGCCTCCTGTGATGAATGATATAAGTCGAGTTGTACCCTTAAATTGTGATTTTTACATAGCATAATCAGAAAAAAATTAGGATTTTTTGGTCTAACTCACGTTCTTCTATCTACTATAGTTTCGGAGATAATTTTGTGCAAAGTAATATAAGTGGCAGGATTTTTGCAAAAATATTGTGAATATAGATATATTTCAAGTTGTAACCCCTATAAGTAATTGCCGCACACACTATTTTTCGTGCTTAGTGGTATAAGTGCGATTGTATTAATTCTCACATTATATTTTTTAGTAAATTTATCGTGAATATTGATATTATTAGAGTTATATCACTTTGAGCAGATTTTTCTCAATACTGATTAGGGTACAATTCTACATGTACCTACTAATACTAATTCTGTACAAATCAACCTTTATGTGTAAATGAATATAAATTGAATTGTATCTAAACTCAAACCAAATCTAAATAAAAAAATGGGCTGCAGTTTAGTATATGGGACGCGGCCCCTGGAGGAGTGAGTGGTATTTTTGGATAGGGGAGGTGATAGAGAGTCCAAATTTATGAAAATTATTTTGAGGAAACAAAAGAGTATTATATTATATGTATAATTTAATGTATACGTAGCCTATTATTGTTACTAAACATTTAATTTATAAATGCACAAAGTTTTCGTATTAATGAAATTAAAAAAATGGCACCGTACGCTTAAAAAGCGGTCTACACAGATGGGATATTTCATTTGTTTATTTTAGAAATATTTGAATAAGGAAGCATATCTTAGTGTTGTGCTTAATAAATTTAAAAACAAAAAAAAAACGACTTCCAGGCACTAAAATGTAAAAAATAACTAAACGGGGGTTTTCATTTAGAATAGATACTTATCCTATCCTGTCGGTGCCTAAGTCGTTCCCAGGGTCTCAAACTATCTTCTTACCAAATTTTATTTACGTCACAAACTTACAAAATTTACCTCTTTATTGGCTTGGCACCGACTTCAAACCTATCAATAGGTAGCACATACAAATAATATTAAAGACATACATAAATACATGAATATAAAAAATATTGTAAGGTACTTTAGTGCCATTTTTCAATTGTTTTGAATTCATTTTGTTATCGGTGGGTAGGCTGTCTGTAACAACTATATAATACCTTTGAGACGTCTTAAACCTCAGTCTCTCCCGTGACCATGATTTGTAAAGCATTCGAAACGTCGGGAACCAAAAATCAAAATAAATTCGCGAAATAATCCGAAAAGATAGTTTTATTTAAAATATCAAGTAAAGAAAGCTTTTAAAGAGTTCATGAATTGACGTCCCCAGGTTTCTATAAGAAATGTTTCAAAGAAGTTCCTTTAAAATAGCAAATATGCATAAATATATTCGATTAATTAAACTATGCCCTAACAACATGGAAAAAATCTAGAATGATATATTTATAAAATAATAAAATTAGGAATAAAACTATTATTATATAAATATACACATATTTGATGGAGAAGCAAAATATATATAAGCAATCTGCTCGACATATTTACGTGTTACGAATCTCGTGGTCTTTATTAACGAAAAATTACAATGCTATAAACTTAAAAGGATAATTTTAATAGTTTAATTGGACAGAAAGAATCGATCGAGAATCCGTTCTCGACACTTATCTGACTTCAGCATACAATTTACCAAAAAGAACTCTCATATAATCCGCCAGCGCCACGATCAACCAACGTTAACAAGCCACATATTACCAAAGAATATTACGATGGCACACCTCGATTTCACTGGAAGCGTCGCCTCTGCTCTTAATTAGATTTTGATTTCATGTAACATTACATAGTGACTTTAAACATAGCTATTAATTAATGATAAATAGATAAAATGATATATAAATAAAAATAAATGATAAAACCTCAATATAATGGAATAAATGGAGTGTCTATTCGTCCTTTAATAGGACGAATAAAAATAATTATTCGTCCTTTATAACATTTATAAATTATAAGGAAGGACGAATAGACTAATAAATAAGCAGAATAAGTAGCTCGGCTCAGCTCGGCGGTAGGTTAAAGTTATTTTTTTTGCATATAGCAACTCCTGCGCCTAAAAATCTCTAATTTTACATTAGAAAACAAAAAAAGTGGTAAATATTACCATACAAACCGACAATATTCGGATGAATAAGAAGTTTTTTATTCGTCCGCTTGTCGAACGAATAGCAACAGCCTCCTTCTATTAAAGTACGAATAATTATAATTTTTTATTCGCCTTTATTTTAAGTGCGAATAGTAACAGCAATAATTATTAATTATTTGTCTTATTAAAACACGAATAATTATTTTTTATTTGTCTTTATTTTAAGTACGAATAGCAACAGCCTTGAATAAAAAATCATTTGCATACCCATAGTTGAAACATTATTCTTTTATCATACTTTTTTCCCATAATTGTCTAAAATAATAAGTTTAAATTTTGAACAAATCAATACTACAAAACATGTATTTAAAATATATTTTTTCCGTTACATTTTAAAATATGATGCTATTAGGCCCTAATATATCTTTGTGATATTATTAATTAAAAACCAGTTCACTAAGAATCGAATATGCTTTTTTTACAACTTCGGTAACATCCCTTACAGGCTTATCAGCTATGGATAGCCAGGTAGAACCACTTTCGCCATGTTTAATCGATCCTATTACACCAAGTGCCGCAGATTCCACTCTGAAATAGAATAGGATAAAATAAAATATTTTTTATCTATTCTTGTTTGATTGCTTTAATATATAATCCTATCCTAATATCTTATCTTTCTTTTAAAAATATTGTTATCCCATAAAATATTTATCTTAAAAATTACAAATTATAGACTTAATAAAAACTTTTTAAGAAAAAATAAAAACCGACTTCAAACAAAAGCACTAAAAAGTAAAAAATAACTAATTGGTAGTTTTCATTTACTATACATACCTAATCAAATATTTTCGAAGTCGGTGTGCTTTGGCTAAGTAATTAAAGCCTACCTATTAAATACATACCTAATCAAATATTTTCGAAATTGGTACCAGCCCATACAAAGCAAGGCACACCGACTTCGAAAATATTTGATTAGGTATGTATAGTAAATTAAAACTACCAATTAGTTATTTTTTACTTTGTAGTGCTTTTGTTTGAAGTCGGTTTTTATTTTTTTGTTAAAAAGTTTTTATTTTTCCCTTTTTAGTGTGAACAGTAGTAGAAAAGTACGAATTTTAACGTGTTAGGCTTGTCAAATCAAACAAAATGAGCCCAAACTCAAAGTATCTACTATTAGCCTTTGAAGAGTTCCACCTATCCACCTTCTGGCCTTACCATCAGATCAGGTCAACAATACCGAACCACTGTACTATCAACGGAAATAGAAACACTAGCAAAGTTTCAAGTCAATATGACAATTAGAAGTAGGTTAAATTCATCATTAGCTAGTTTTCCACCCTTTGGGGTGGTAGTTTTTTTTGAAATTTAAATGGGACCAATCTGGAAGTATACACTTTCAAACAACACAAAAATTGTCCAAATCGATTAATAAATGACGGAGTTCTGAGGTAACAAATATTAAAAAAAAAATACTGTCGAATTGAGAACCTTCTCCTTTTTGAAGTCGGTTGAAAATCAAAACCTTGCATTCATAATAAATAGCATAAGCAACTAAGCGTCGTCGCTTCGTTCCAGGCCAAAATTATTATAATCTATGATCTTTTTTTACCACGACGTCAAAGCCCTCCATGCAATGTGAAGAGGATAATAATAATATATTATATAGACCACCACTTTCGCCATATTACCTTAGTTAATGTTACTTACTAGATAAATTAAAAAAACTTACTTTTGGCTAGGATGAGACCTTACTATATTCATCATATTTTTTTCAATTTCTTTGTCAAAGTTTCCCAATTTAGCCTCGCTGAGAAGCGAGGTATCTGTAGCTCCAAAACAGATAGTCAACACACGCACTCCCGTTCTATCGTAATACTCAGGCAACTAAAAATAATAAAGTTTTATTAGTGACTAGACTTTGTCCATTATACACACCGAATATATCAGCTATGTAACTCTACAAATACCTAATAATTATATTATATGTACAGTTTTTAAGACAAGGCAAAAATAACATTGTAGATCGATTTATTAAACATGCGCGAATAGATTCGTTAAATAAAGGTAAACAAACATACGTATCGAACAAAGACATCACTAACGATGATTTCTAACTTACCCCTATGCAATTACTAAATTGTAATACAGCACTTTTAGTGGCATAGTAGATAGGGAGTAAAGGATCCTGAAATAAAGCAGCAATAGATGACATGTTCAAGACCACACCCCCTTTACCGCCCTTCTCCTTGCTCATGATATCTATGGCTTTAAGTGTACTTGTTACCAATGCAGTCTGAAATTAAAAGGATGTAAAATAACATGTAAAATAACACTTGTAATAGACAAGTACCTGGGCGACCGAGTTCCGCACGGCGTAATTTTTTGTAAAATCGTTTTTTTTTTTCGAAAAAGATATAAAAACTGCGTTTTATTTAAAAAAAAAACTCATATGTAGATAAATTTAAAAAGTAAAACCTTATCTAAATACAAAATCTGATCCATATCATTTTCGAGAAAATCGATATAAAATACATTATTAGCTATATACATGAACTAGCAATAGCCGCGACTTCGCCCGTGCTCAATCTTCCGATATGTAGGTACATCAGTTTTACAATAATGTATGGAAGTCTGTCCGATTTGTTCACATTCATGATTACCTACTGCTCCGCTCTCTTGGGTAGTAGCATAATGATAGTTTTAAAACATACAAACGAACAAACAAACTCTGTCTCTTTATAATACTGTTATAGATAAATAATTGCTCAATTAATATTATAAGATAGGGTAAGCTACCGTCATTATGATTCATGGGACTTGAACAAGATGTTTGGGTTTGTAATGGTTTGTAGAAGGTTTGTAATGGTTTATGAATAAAAATGTAATAACATAAATTATTATCATTTTATATGAGAATGGAATCTTGTTTAACCAGTATGTTAGAGAAAAACAGAAGTTTTTCAAATTTTCACCGCTAGTACGAAATATTATAAGTTTTATACTATATTATTTATATAAAACTACATAATATAATAAAATTGTAACTAAGTCGAATCTGTACATTAAATATTTTTTGGAAAATCTAATTGAAATTATTATCAATACATAGTCCGATTTTATAGTTTTTAGATTTTTTGTCTGTCTGTCCGTTCGTCCGTCCGTCCGTCCGTCCGTCCGCGGGCGGAGCCGCGGGCAATGCTAGTAAAACTATAAATTTATTTTTACCATGATACTTTACGACATTATTTATTGTTTTTAGTATATTTATTTGTTAATATTTTTTTACATCATGAAGCCACCATTTTAATACTATCATAATCGAATCAGTGTGTCGACTATTATATATTTTTTTTCTACTTTCTGATTATAAAATCGTTCGTTCAATCATCGTACGTTCAATGTTTTCTTTCTTTTGCAATGCAAAGATGAAGATTTATTTCTTATGAAAGTGTGTGGTTTATTAAAAAGTTAATATCAGAATTAAAATAAATCAAATAAAAAAGTTAAAATATATTTGAAAAATATTAAATTTCAAAATTCGACCACTATATAATCATTATTAAAAATTTAAAATATATAAATAGGAACTACTTATCATATAAAAAAAATATGATATCAATTATGTTGATAACATTTAGTGTTATCAATAAGTAATTTGAAACCGTTCTCGTCTATTGATGTATTTGTTTAGTAGCAATAGCTACTAAACAAACTGTAAAAAATATAGATATGTATAATATGTGTATAATATAAATATGTAGTAAAAAATAACAGAATAACTATTAACACATGGGAAAAAATCACGAAAAAAATTAAAAACATGGACGACGCTGGCTAATAACTATTTATATTTTATATCTATTTAAAACGTACCTCGGGAAGCATCCGAGCGAAGCGAGGGTAAGTTTATATAGGTTTAAACTATAGAGGCTATTTTATATAAACTTATATATCTATACATATAATTGTAACTAAGCCGAATCTGTACATTAAATATTTTTTGGGAAATCTTATTGAAATAGACATTATCGATACAGATGCCGAATCTATAGTTTTTAGAATTTTTGTCTGTCTGTCTGTCTGTTACCGCATCACGGAAACACCACTGGAGGGGTTTTTATGAAATTTGGTATGATAAAATAGTTCATTTCTGAGAAATGTATACTAAACGTTAAAACGTAAGTAGGGACGAACCCGAGCAGAGCGAGGGTGAGTCGCTAGTAGATAAATTAGTTAAAATAGAATGTTATATAAGTGGAAAATATTAGGGAAATATACTTAGAGTGTATACTTATGTATACTCTAAGGAAATATATTTAAAACAACATGAAGGTCTTGTAAAGATAAGCTCTACCTATCATAAATTATAATAATACCTACGTCAATAATATGGCATCATGGCGCCGAAGTCCGCGAACAACATATTCTTAATTTCCTCTTTTATTTTTTATATTGTAAAAAAAAATGTCTAATTATTTTTAGAGGTACATGTTTACTTTTTAGGTATACAGTGGTTATTTTTATTTGTATTTACGTCACCATCTCGGAGTACACTAAGAGAATTGAGTGACAAATTCCTCAGTATTCCGCTTGATAGGCAACGCCATATAGTGGTATCCAATTTTTGCTATTTTACTTACCACATTGATTTCTATCTCTTTCTTGTACTTCTCTTTGCTGTCATTCATGATGCCAGCATTGTTAATAACTACATCAATATAACCTTGGTCACTTAAGACTGCATCGTATACCCCCATCAAGCAGTCCTCATCTGTCACGTCACACTTAAAAAACTTAACTTTACTGGCACCATATTTTTTGCTTAATGCAGTTTGTAATGCAACTCCTTTGTCTTCTGTAACATCCAAGAAGGCCACGTGCTGAAACAACAATAAGATTACATCTTTCACTTAAACATAATTAATTGATTCAAATCTGGTGAAGTGATTGTTTAAATTAATAATCGCCTTGTTATCGTAATACAATGATACAACAAATTACCGACTTATACCAATAAACAGGAAATATGTTCAATATCAAACTAATATTTTTATAATTAGTGCAAAAATGGTCTAACTAATAATTTTTAACCAACTTCCAAAAATGTTCATTTGTATATTATATTTTATTTTTTTATGTAGGTATAAATAATATTATGTTCGCCGATTTTTCGGAGATGATTACTTTTATCCTGCAGTTACACTACTAAGGTAGGTTCCAAGATAGTCCTGTAAAATTTTCTTTGACATAGTCTATGACATATTATCCATTTCCGAGAAAATCAGGAAAAAACAAGTAAAATTTCTTTTAAATTAAACGGTATTATTGAATAGAAAGATAACAGTAATGTAGATAATGAACTCAAAGCTGGAAAATAATTAGGTACTTGTAGGTCCTAGGTACCAGTCATCACACCACTCTCATCATTAATTTAGGATAGGTATTGATCAGACTCAAAAATAAAATATTTTCTTGGCAACGACTTCAAATATATTGGATCCCGTTCAGTTATTTTTTACTTATTAGTTCTAGAAACTCGTTTTTTTAATGTCTGGAAGTCGGCTTTTATTTTATTTTTTAAGTTTTTGTTATATTTTTATTTAACAACTACAAGTCTCCCAAATGAGCTCACTTAGCTAGACTTAGTTTTATAGATAGCGAGATACATTTTGTTGCATAATAAGTAACGTATAAAATGAATCTAAAATGGAATATTTCAATTGAAAGGACGTATGGGCAGATTTTATTTAAAATGAAATACCTAATTCAAGAAGTGTATTTAATCAGTGATTTCACTATTATTAAAAAAACACAATATTATTTTTTATTTGATTTTTGAAAGTTTAACCAATTGTTATAAATTTAATTAACCTTTTGAAACTAAATTTTCCGAAAACTCCCAGACGAATATGCAAGGATGGATACCGAAAATATTATGAGAATATTATAATGAATAATGAACTTCTTTGGCAAGGTTGGTGTCCAAATACCACTAACAGATGTTATACCCACAGATATTTTTCAATAATATATAGTAATGAGTGCAAAACAGCTAAAATAAATTTGCGTAATATTAATTATTCCTTACTAATTAATTACTTACGCTTCACTTGACCTTATAATATATCTCGATAATAAGTATTATGACAATAATATTATCTTTTAATTAATTTTATTAAAATATTTTTTAAGCCTTAAGTTAGTTTGATACCAATTTTTATATAAAGACTGACAAACTAAAATTAGCTTATATTAAAACGCTTAACACAAAAAAATTAGGCTCTAATATCCAAGTCTAAGGTATTGGTCTTGTCAAATCAAACAAAATAAGCTCAAACTCGAAGTGTCTACTATTAGCCGTTGAAGAGTTTCTCCATCCACCTTCTGGCCTAACTATCAGATCAGCTCGACGAAACCGTTTCACTGTACTATCATCGAAAATACAAACACTTACAAAGTTTCAAGTCAATATGACCTAGATTAAATTTTAATTAACTTTTTTTCCACCCTTAAGGGTGGTATTTTTTCTTAAAATTTAAATGGGACCAAACAGGAAGTATACACTTTCAAACTAAAAAAGAATTTTCAAATCGGTTAATAAATGAAAACGCTTTAAAGTAACAAACATAAAGAAATACTACGAACGAATTGTTAACCTCCTACTTTTTTTGAAGTCGATTGAAAACTAGGTTAATTAAACATTTGCTTAACCTTTCCGTGGATTTCCACGGAATTCAAGCAGATTTCTCTTTTGTAGAGCTCTATTAATCAAGCTTTTTGTTATATGTAAGTACTAAACATAATTTAAATAAATACAAATATAATAATCAAGAAGCTAGCAAGAATATAAATAGTCGTATTTATTTTATAAGTTGCTATGACTTCATGCGTCCACTTAAGGCTTATAGCAATGCCTCGGCGGTTTAGTGGGTACAGATCTGAAGTTCCTGGGTTCGAGTCCTACGAGAGTAGAGCCAAGTTAAGGGAATATTTTTATTAAGAAACTCTCAGCAATAGCCAAGAGTTGGAATGTTGGTGGTGTTTCACCCCAGTACCTCGGTACCCGTATAGCCGTCAGTATTGCGCCTAATCTCTCATCGGTCGTGTAGAATTGTCGTCTCATTGGAATTTGAGAGTGAAGCGTGTTCGTGTACACTATAATATTTCCCGTGCAGTTGGCTAGTCTCAGTCAGATTGACCGTCAAAAGGACTCTACATTAATATGGCATTACACTAAGTATTTAAAAATATATTTACTAACCTTTACATTTTCATCTAATAAATATTCAATAACTTTGGCACCTATCCCAATGGACCCCCCTGTTATGAACACAACTTTGCCTTTGAAATCAAACGACATCGTTTAACATTGACCGCTCACAATGATATAAGAGAAGCACGATATTCTTTGCCTATATTATAGACTCAAGAGTTTTGTTATGTTTATCTTTAATTTTATTGATAATTATACAAGAGTTAGACGATAAAAAAATTTAGAGTATTACTATCATTTGCTCACAGCTTTCCCTGCGTAATGTTTAAATTTTTGTAAGTTATAAAAAAACATCTAACTTACCTGTAACTTATATAATATATATATTAAATATATGTAAATATAAGAAGCAATTAAAATCGTACAAGTGCGAACCCGACTCGCACACCAAGGGTTCCGTAACATGAAACATTAAAATGTTTTGTTTGAACACACTAATTTCTTATGTCAAAAGTTAAATGAAATATTTACCCATCTATCTACTATATTTATTTTATTGACTACGTAAATAAGTTTGTACTTCATAGAACACCAAAAGAAAGTCCATTTTACCGAAATCGTAAAACGAAAAATATCCCATATCTTAGAAACTTCGCAACATATGTATCTTCTTCAAGATAATTTTCGTTGAAAGTAACTATTCTTTCTAGATATCCGCAATAATATGGACTTAAAATTTATATTTTCAGTTACATGTATGGAGTGCACCCCTATTTATGTTATTTTTTGTAATTTGAATTAATTACAACACAATTTACAATAAACAGTTTAAATGACACGCCTACATACAAAAGGTCTGCTATATTACTCCAACGCTCCAACACCAACAGGCCTTCAAGCAAAATGCCTATGACCGTGTGTTATAAACGGATGAAAAGACAGACAGACAAACATTACAAATTTACAAAAGTCCCATTTAAGCCAACTCAAAAATTTTCTTTGGCATAGAGTATGCCGTTTTTAAGAATATCCGGAAAATCTATGAAATTTCAAGAGTGTTAACCTTCGATCAACAATACTACTGTTGATCGTAGATGTTAATAGATTTCATTAGTCTTATTTACCTACTTTTACTTTTTATCGACTTGAAACTTTACAAGTTTTTGTATTTCTTATGATAATACAGGTTTTTGGTAACATCGAGCTGATCTGATGGTGTCGCCAGAAGGTGGATAGTGGATCTCTTCATCGCCTACTAGTAAATATTAGTTTGAGATTCTTTGGTTTCATTTGATAAGCCTAATATGTTAAAGTTAGATTTTTTAGCCTGATTTTTAGTGTTACTAATAAAACTGACTTTTTAGTATGTTAGTCTTTATATAAAAGGCCGCATACTAATTAATAGCTTAACTTAAAATGTTATTAAAATACTTTCTTCTTACAAATTACCTGCTTATTACGTCTACACTAAAAATGGAACAATAAAAACTTAAAAAATAAATAAATAAATATATTTCATATTATTTAAAAAGAATTCGGACTACATTGTAAAAAGTTATGCGTGGTCAAACTTGAGAACCTCTTCCTTTTTTTCGTCGGATAAAAATTTCCTAAAATTTTAAACAAAGAAGATTCACAACAGAAAATTGTTATTTAAAAAAAATCTCTTGTGATTTTTAATGGATTTTTTGATTTTTTTTAAGTACTAGATGATTTTTACCATATGTAGACAGACATCAATAATTGTGCTTATTTTGTTGCATAATATTTTTGTTGTTATGTGTTAAGTATAATAATTATCATAAACTGATAAAAGCATATAGGAATAAGCAAGATAAAAAGTTACGTAATTAACAATTACAATTATTATATCTATACATATAATAAAATTCTAAGTCGAATTTGTACATTAAACATTTTTTGGCAATTAATACTGAAATAGTCAATAACTCCTTATCTATACACGATACATATCTATCTATACAGAGGCCGTATCTATAGAAGTTTGTGTGTCTGTCTGGGAACGCATCACGAGAAAACCACTGGACAGATTTTGATGAAATTTGGGATGATGATAGCTGGTTATCTCTGAGAAATCTACACTTAACGTTAAACGTTACTAGAGAGTAGAGACGAACCTAAGTGAAGCGAGATGAGTCGCTGTCACTCGCTACTTCATTATAGTCTGATTTTTAATTCAACGGAAATACTCGAATGACAGCTATCATTCTTTGACAATTGAGATATCATAAACCTTTTCTGCTTTGTATTTCTTTAATATAAAATAACAAAAAATGTGAAACAGAATTAGATCAAGTAAACTATATGTATGACATTGTAAATAGTTTTTATTTTGTGCAATCAATTCACGCTAACTATAATGTAAATTTTTAATGGTTAAATGAATAAAACAGAGTAAAACAAAATATTTTACAAATAAAGGGGTTTTACTAAAAAAGGCTTGCAACCTATGGATTATTGGACAGGGATTCCTGTAATAGAAAAATAATTTCCTTAATAATTATTGTAACTTCAATAATATGATAATAAAAAAATAATTACCATTTTAGAGTTATCAATAATTTTTTAAGTCTTAGTTTTTCTAATTGAAAACGTAACTTCAAGAAAGGTTTATTTTTTTATTTTG